CTTCCTTTAGAGGCGCCGCCCCTAAGGATGACCTTTCTCTTCTGCAAATGGCTGATAGCCACCAATATTACCACTCGACGTAGAAGGATATCAGACTCGGAGGAAGAAATAGCTCCCCGGCAAGCAACAGAACCGAGCCGTGAAGCTGTGATGTCGCCTCGAGGAAAAGAGGCTGCTGAGTCATCAAGGAAAGGAAAGGAACCGGCTCTCCCAGCTGATAGTGAAGAGGAGTTTGATAGTGAAGCAACCGCAAGCAACAGAACCGACCCGTGAAGCTGTGATGTCGCCTCGAGGAAAAGAGGCTGCTGAATCATCAAGGAAAGGAAAGGAACCGGCTCTCCCAGCTGATAGTGAAGAGGAGTTTGATAGTGAAGCAACCGAAACTTCAGAAGGGGAAGGTGAGAATGAATCAAGTTCTGAGGAAGTATCTGGCCTTCCCGATTCATTCTTTGATAGAGGACTTGTAAGGCCTTCTGTCGCTCCGACCCAACCACAAGCTGCTCCAAAAAAACGTAAGGAAAGAGTCGTCATGGAACATCCTAACCGGATGACGGTAGAAGTTCTTAGTTGCGACGAAGAGGATGAAGAGGATATGGTGCCTCTCATTCGTCGGCAAATATCTCGAACTTCTACTCAAGCTCAAACTCAAGTTTCTCCCCGAGCTGAGTTACGCACCAAACATCGTCATGAAGGTTCTGATGCACGCCCTCTGAAGAAACAGAAGAAAGCTGTTTCTAAACCGCGCGTTCATCTTCCTGCTGTAGAAGAGGCGTCTGGTCGTAGTGTTTTTATAGCTTTTACACTTTTTGACGTTCAAACTTATTTCATGTTCAACTTCTGCAGGGAGTCGAGAGGAAGGAGAATTGCCAGCTGATGCTGCTTCTCCCGGAGGTATGGAAATTGAGGAAACAAGCTTCGTCCAACAAATGCATGATGCTCTGAAGGAAGGATCGGCTGATGTTCCACCCACTCCTGACGTTGATCCATCAGCTGCGGACACAGGTACTGATCTTTCTCCTCTCGGAAGAGAAATCCGAGAAATGAATGAGTCGGACCGTGTGCCTCCTCTAATGACCTGTGCGCTTTCTCTCCTTTTAGTCAAATTAAAAGAAGCAGGTACCAGTAGTGGAGCTCTCGAATCAGCCCCGACCAACGAAGGTAAAATTAATTGTCTTTTTTGAGCAAATTCGTCTAAATTTATGTGTCATTTACGACTCAACACATTTTGTAGATGTCACAATGCACGAATCTGTTGGAGGAGAGACCACGCATACAACAGAGGTCGAGGAATTCAATGAACATCACCTCGATTTCAATCTCTCTGAAGGCGACCATGAGTATATCTCATCTTGGATGTCGGGTGCTTCAGATGGTTGATGAATATTCGACCTGGATATCTGTTGTTCAGGGTAAGGGATGTTTGCCACATTGAACCCTATCTCCCATGTCGATTCGCCCGTCAATTCGGGTATGATCAGATATATGTCGGTAATCCAAACCGCCACCTTAGCTTTCGAGGTGGACTTATCGATGGTGCGAGGGCTTGGTTCTGGAGCATTGCTGGCTGCACAAATGTTGAATTTGATCTTCCTTTAGAGGCGCCGCCCCTAAGGATGACCTTTCTCTTCTGCAAATGGCTGATAGCCACCAATATTGCCACTCGGCGTAGAAGGATATCAGACTCGGAGGAAGAAATAGCTCCCCGGCAAGCAACAGAACCGACTCGTGAAGCTGTGATGTCGCCTCGAGGAAAAGAGGCTGCTGAATCATCAAGGAAAGGAAAGGAACCGGCTCTCCCAGTTGATAGTGAAGAGGAGTTTGATAGTGAAGCAACCGAAACTTCAGAAGGGGAAGGTGAGAATGAATCAAGTTCTGAGGAAGTATCTGGCCTTCCGCCCTTCTGCTGCGTCTACTCAATCACAAGTTGCTCCGAAAAAACGGAAAGAGAGAGTCATCATGGAACATCCTAACCGGATGACGGTAGAAGTTCTTAGCTGCGACGAAGAGGATGAAGAGGATATGGTGCCTCTTATTCGTCGGCAAATATCTCGAACTTCTACTCCAGCTCAAACTCAAGTTTCTCCCTGAGCTGAGTTACGCACCAAACATCGTCATGAAGGTTCTGATGTACGTCCTCTGAAGAAGCAAAAGAAAGCTGCCTCTAAACCGCGCGTTCATCTTCCTGCTGTAGAAGAGACATCCAGTCGTAGTGCTTCTTCTGATGAACAAGGTAACTATTTGTTTTTGTCACTTTCACATTTTTTAATGCTTGAACTCATTCCATTTCCAATTTCTGTAGAGAGTCAAGAAGAGGGAGAATATCGAGTTGGAGCTGCTTCTCCTGGAGGTATGGAGACTGAGGAGACCAGCTTCGTCCAGCAAATGCAAGATGCTCTGGAAGAAGGACCAGCTGATGTTTCCCCAATTCCTGACGTTGATCCATCTGCTACGGACGCAGGTACTGATCTTTCTCCTCTTGGAAGAGAAATCTGAGAAATGAATGAGTCGGACCGTGTGCCTCCTCTAATGACCTGTGCACTTTCTCTCCTTTTAGTCAAATTAAAAGAAGCAGGTACGAATAGTGAAGCTCTCGAATCCGCCCCGACCAATGAAGGTAAAATCAATCTTTGTCTTGAGCAAATTTGTTTAAATTTACGTGTCATTTACGACTCAACACGTTTTGTAGATGTCACAATGCACGAATCCGTTGGAGGAGAGACCACGCATACAACAGAGGTCGAGGAATTCAATGAACATCACCTCGATTTCAATCTCTCTGAAGGCGACCATGAGTATATCTCCGACTTACTATCGGGGAAAACTCCTGGTGCAGCCACGGAATCCAGCGTTGGAGTCGGTTCAACAGAAGCAGGTCCTTCTGAAAGTAAGACCTTTATTCTGTAAACTCCATATATGCATACATATATATTTTAACTTGATTAACCATATAAGTATTTGAATTATAGGACCAGTTGCTGGAACTGATACTACTATAATCATTGGTACGTCTGATCGACTGGAGAGTAGTGAACTTGTGCCGTGGACAAGAACCGAAGTTGATTTGCAATCATCAGTTCTTGAACCTCAACCTTCTACTCCTATGGACCCCATGATGATAGAAGTCACTGTCACTCCCCAGATTAGTCCAGTTGCAACAAAAGCGAGACCAACTGAAGAAGTTGGTACATCGGCCGATGTTGTGACTAGAATTGGTGAGTTTCATTTATCGTTTGTTTCAAGCTCGGATTATCATTATGCTCATTGTAATCCTCCTGTTTGTAGAATCTCCTCTTAAAGAGTCTCTTAGTTTGGACCCGCCGTCCTCTGAGACTTTAGTTGAAAAAGTCCCTGATGTAGCGGGTGCATCAACAGCTACCATTCCTGAACCAATCTTGACTGTTCAGGAATCCAGATTACCATCCTTGAGCGAACCAAGTCATGCTGAAGGTTCTTCCGTCGAATTTGGTATGCTTTAGTTTGTTGTCTTGTATGCATATATATATACTGTACTGACTTATTTGACTTTCTCGCAGTTCCTTCATCATTATCAACTCAAATCCAAGCGTTATTGGTTGATGACGATCCGGACAAGTACTCTAACAGCTAAGAGCCCACAGCGATCAACTTAGGGTGGATGTTGGCAAAAGAACACAAGCCCAAACTATCCTACGCCGGGATTTAGAATCGAGTCGAGCGGAAATAGCTCGCTTAGAGGAGGAACTTGCAATGGCCAAGGATGCTCATGATGTCTTGGAGTCTGAGTTGACGCGGGAGATTCATATTGAAGGCAACCTGTTACAGCAACTGAACCTTCAAGATAACATAATTGCTGAAAAGGAACAAGAGGTGGCCGCGCTTCATAGCGTTGACGAAGAAGCTTTCAAAATCAAATTGGCAGCTGAACTTGAACAGGCTCGTGCGTTAGAGCTTTTGCAGCTTGAAAATCAGATTAGTCAGTATAAACTTTTGTAATTGGAGAACATACATTTTTTTTGTAACTTTGTTTGAAAACTCTTGCAACATAGTGAACCTTTTTGCTCAATATATTGAATCTTTTTGCTCATTGAGGTTTTATTATGATTACTCATTCTTATTTTAGAATAAATAACCATAATACTTATAGGATTTTTGGCAAATCCTCAGCCATCAACGGATTTGATATGCCTTTACCGATTACCGTTTGAGTCGGGCTAGTATGTGAATTATCTAGGTCCGTTTCACATATAACGTTGTGCTAAAAGAATTAAACTCTTTTAGACTTTAGACTACAATGTTGAATATGTAGGCTACATGTATTAGATGTAGGCTTATCTCTAATAAAGGATAGAGATAACATCCCCCATGTGTGAACGACATGGATTTTAAAGTGTGAGTAGGTTGCGTTTCCTATATAGGACAACGAACCCGAAATCGGAGAGGAAGAATTTTATATTCTATCTCCTGGTCTCTTGTTTGTTGGTAGAGATAAACCCAGAATCGGAGAGGAAGAATTTTATATTCTATCTCCTGGTCTCTTGTTTGTTGGTAGAGATAAACCCAGAATCGGAGAGGAAGAATTTTATATTCTATCTCCTGGTCTCTTGTTTGTTGGTAGAGATAAACCCAGAATCGGAGAGGAAGAATTTTATATTCTATCTCCTGGTCTCTTGTTTGTTGGTAGAGATAAACCCAGAATCGGAGAGGAAGAATTTTATATTCTATCTCCTGGTCTCTTGTTTGTTGGTAGAGATAAACCCAGAATCGGAGAGGAAGAATTTTATATTCTATCTCCTGGTCTCTTGTTTGTTGGTAGAGATAAACCCAGAATCGGAGAGGAAGAATTTTATATTCTATCTCCTGGTCTCTTGTTTGTTGGTAGAGATAAACCCAGAATCGGAGAGGAAGAATTTTATATTCTATCTCCTGATCTCTTGTTTGTTGGTAGAGATAAACCCAAAATCGGAGAGGAAGAATTTTATATTCTATCTCCTGGTCTCTTGTTTGTTGGTAGAGATAAACCCAGAATCGGAGAGGAAGAATTTTATATTCTATCTCCTGGTCTCTTGTTTGTTGGTAGAGATAAACCCAGAATCGGAGAGGAAGAATTTTATATTCTATCTCCTGATCTCTTGTTTGTTGGTAGAGATAAACCCAAGATTGGAGAGGAAGATTTTTATATTCTATCTCCTGGTCTCTTGTTTGTTGGTAGAGATAAACCCAGAATCGGAGAGGAAGAATTTTATATTCTATCTCCTGGTCTCTTGTTTGTTGGTAGAGATAAACCCAAAATCGGAGAAAAAGAATTCTATCTCCTGGTCTCTTGTTTGTTGGTAGAGATAAACCCAGAATCGGAGAGGAAGAATTTTATATTCTATCTCCTGGTACAAAGGAAATTTGAAGTGGGATTTCTATTCAGAGAATCTGAATAAGGTTTGATCAATTGAGATTGGAAGCAATCCTAACTTTTATAGGTTTGATTGCGCAAATCGAAGGTGGACCTCTTGTTCATGGAAGGAATCAAGAGGGGATTTTGGCTTTGGTCATAACTGTTTAAAGGCTTGACCAAGATGGGAATTTGAGACGATCTTAACTGTTTAAAGGTTTGATCGTTCAATTTGTGGACCTCTCGTTCATGGAACGAATCGAGAGGGGATTTTGGCTTTGGTCCTAACTGTTTAAAGGTTTGACCAAGATGGGAATTTGAGACGATCCTAACTGTTTAAAGGTTTGATCGTTCAATTTGTGGACCTCTCGTTCATGGAACGAATCGAGAGGGGATTTTGGCTTTGGTCCTAACTGTTTAAAGGTTTGACCAAGATGGGAATTTGAGACGATCCTAACTGTTTAAAGGTTTGATCGTTCAATTTGTGGACCTCTCGTTCATGGAACGAATCGAGAGGGGATTTTGGCTTTGGTCCTAACTGTTTAAAGGTTTGACCAAGATGGGAATTTGAGACGATCCTAACTGTTTAAAGGTTTGATCGTTCAATTTGTGGACCTCTCGTTCATGGAACGAATCGAGAGGGGATTTTGGCTTTGGTCCTAACTGTTTAAAGGTTTGACCAAGATGGGAATTTGAGACGATCCTAACTGTTTAAAGGTTTGATCGTTCAATTTGTGGACCTCTCGTTCATGGAACGAATCGAGAGGGGATTTTGGCTTTGGTCCTAACTGTTTAAAGGTTTGACCAAGATGGGAATTTGAGACGATCCTAACTGTTTAAAGGTTTGATCGTTCAATTTGTGGCTTGGCACACCATACCGATATATGATGTGGTGTTTAATAAATTTGATAACATCAGCCATCTTTACTTCTCTAAGTGGAACTGCTTCTGCCCATTTCGAGAAATAATCGGTGATTGCCAAAATAAAACGGTCCCCTTTAACCGAAGGCGGGAAAATAGGACCTACTATATCCATTCCCCAAGTTTCAAACGGCCACGATGTCGCCGAAGGATGCAGATATTCAGGGGGTATGTGCATATAATTTGCATGCAATTGACACACTACACATTGTCGTGCGTAATCGACTGCGTCTTTCACCATAGTTGGCCAATAATACCCGATTTTCCTAAGTCGATCACAGAGTTTAGGACCGGGCTGATGTGCACCGCATATCCCATTATGTGCCTCTTTGAGTGCTTGTTCCGCTTCTTTACTGGATAGACAACGAAGTAAAAGACCATCATAAGCTCGTCGATACAACGTTTGCGATGTGGCATTGTAATAAAATCTCGGCGCTCTTCGCCGAATCGATTCCCTTTCTCTTACATCTTCAGGTAATATACCATGTAAGACGTAGTCAATAATAGGAAAACGCCAATCTCGAACTTCGGGTTCAACTCCAGTTGAGTATACTTCTTTAGCGTTCGAATCGTAGATTGGAACAATAAGCTGGTGAGTCTTCACTGTAATCAATTGCTCTGTTTCGGGAGGTTGAGCCAAGGATACTGACAATGCTGCCAATGCGTCTGCGCATGCGTTTTGGAGACGTGGAACATACTCGATGAAAAATTCTTCAAACGAGCTCGCCATCTCAATGGCCACCTGGTGGTATGGAATCAGGTCTCAATTTCTGACTTCATACTCTCCTCGTATTTGATTAACCACCAGTTGAGAATCTCCAAAAGCTTCAAGGTATTCGACCCCCAGCTCTTTGGCGAAATTAAGTCCGATTATTAATGCATTGTATTCAGCCACGTTATTAGAGCATGGTTCAGTCAGTGAATATGCTCTAGGCAAGACGTGCTTTTCCGGGGAAACTAAAACGACCCCCACTCCTGAGGAGATTTTAGAACATCCGGGTGCACTTGCCACGTTGGTTGATCGGGAAGCCCCATCGAAGTACAATTGCCACACTTGTTGATGTGAGGTGGTATTAACTTCGTGAGTTTCATCTGGCAGGTCGTCGTACAATTCGACTACATCCTTCGTAGGGTTTTCTGCCAGAAGGTCGCAAATAGCTCGTCCTTTAACAGATTTCTGCTGTTTGAAGTACAAGTCATATTGCGATAAGAGTAAAGCCCATCTGGCCAAACGCCAATTCATGGAAGCCGGTTGGGTCATGAACACTCGGACGGGATTTATATTGGAGATGACATAAATCGTCTGTCCGACTAAATAATGTCGCATTTTCTGAATCGCGAATACCAAAGCGAGCCATTCCTTCTCAATCATTGGATAACGAGATTCAGCTCCTACCAATGTATGACACAGATAATACACAGCTTGCTCGTGACCGTTATCGTCGTCTTGTGCAAGTAATGCACTTAACGAATGGCTCGTCGCTTTGACATAAATCAAAAACGGTCTGCCCGATTTCGGTGCAACGAGAATAGGTGGATTCGCTAGATATTTCTTAATATTCTCGAATGCCTTTTGGCATGTTTCATCCCAAATGAACGACACACCTTTCTTCGCAAGTTTAGAGAATGGTTGACATTTTCCCGACAGATTTGATATAAACCGACGGATGTATGCCAATCGACCTTGCAACCCTCTGAGTTCTTTAAGATTTCTCGGGGGTTGTAGCTCATGTATTACCTTCACTTTATCAGGATCAATATGAATACCTTTTGTGGTGACGACAAATCCAAGAAATTTACCGCTCGACATTCCAAGGAAGGATTTAGTCGGGTTCATCTTTAACTGATGAGTTCTCATAAGCTCGAACATTGACTTCAGATCGTTAATGTGGTCGTTTTTATCACGACTCTTAACGACCAGGTCATCAACGTAGCATTCGACGGTCTTCCGGAGATGCTCTTGAAATATTTTCGTCATTGCTCGTTGATATGTAGCACCGGCATTCTTTAAACCGAAAGGCATAACGGTATAACAAAAGACGCCAAGAGGTGTTCTGAAAGCTGTATGCTTTTCATCATCCGGATGCATCTTGATCTGATTATACCCAGAAAATCCATCCATGAACGACATTCTCTCAAACCCGCATGTGTTGTCGATAGTGACGTCCGTAATCGGTAGGGGAAAATCATCCTTGGGACATGCTGTATTCAGATCTCTGAAGTCAATACAGATTCTGATTTTTCCGTTCTTTTTGAGGACTGGAATAATATTGG